AGGAGCTGCGGACTGTGAGGAAAACTGCAGCCCTGCTGCCCATTCTGGCATGTCCTCAAGAGCCTCCTCCCTCTAGGGAGGAAGAGGGTTCACCCATTGACCACTGGCAGGTATCTGAGTTGCTTGCCCCTCAGGCCTTGCCACCAGCCGATTGGCACAGGGGACAGATGGAGGCAGAAAGAGGTCAGGAATATGCCCATGACAATCACTTGACCTGGTCTGACTGCTGCAGTGCAGTGCTGAAGCAGCCATACATTTCCCAAATTTTATTCCCATGGGAGTCATGGGTCCCTACATTCTGTACATTAGCTCATTTGAGGTATCTTGGTTGGAAAATTGTTGCCCTGTGAAGCACTGTTTTGCCCAGTTAAAGATTACAGACAGGAGAGCTTTAGTAGAATATAGAGAAGTAATAAGTAAATCACCATTGGTGGTGATTCATATTTCTGCATATATATTTTGATAAAGGGCTAGGTAACAGCAAGCCTAGTATGAGGATCAATTACAGTATTCCAGTTAAAATTGGCTCACAGACTGGGCCAATATGGACAGACACAAACTTACCCCCACACAAACTCAATTAACCTAAATCTTATTTGATTTCCTTAGTTTTTAGACTACTCTTAAATGCTAGGTATGGCATATGTACAATAAAGTGCAGGTCTTATCCACTTTATTGTACAGTTATTCAAATGTAGTACTCAATGTGATTTACTTTTGATTAGTTATGCATAGGATTATAAGTTTTACTGTGTCCTTATTCTAACTTTGCCTTAGAATTTCAATAAAACATTTTCAGATTAAGAAGGCATGATTCATTACAAAGTCTAAATTAGATTAAACTGATAGTAATATGCCTTAGGTCTAAAAGAGAAAGGTGGAAAAGTTGATTGCTACATGTATATCTGGCAGGGATCACCCATAATTATGCTGTTCTAGAAATGATTTAGAAAATTATTACCCTTAAAGTTTGCTGTAGGGCTATATCTCTGGACCTCTTAAAGCAGTATATTTAAAACAAAAACAAAACAAAACGACATTATGAGGATTGCTCTTTACTCTTGTATGACCTAGAGTTTCTTGTGTTGACATCTAAAATCACCTAGCTGTTCCTTGCTGAACACAGGATAATGTCACTACAGGGGGAAAAAAGGAATAAACTCTGAAGCATGGAATTGGTTAATAAGTGATGGTGCATGGCTAGCAAGAACAATTTCATTTCACTGTTGCTATGTAAAATTTAGAGACAAAATCACAGTGGGAAAGCAATAATTAAAATGCCAGAATAATTTTTTAAATTAGCACTGAAAAGAAAACAATGTGAACTCATCTGAGACCAGATTTTTAAGTACTAAGTGCCACAACAGCAAGAAGCTCTGTCTCTGGTTACCACCCTACCTTTCTTGAGAAAATGGTGAGATTTTTAGATCTTGGGCTATGATCGGGAGGCCAGGTTCAAATCCACTCTGTCTTATGAAGGTCACTGGCTGACTTTGGGCCAGGAACTATTCATAAGCCCAATTTCACAGGATTCTTGTTGTGCAGATAACACTGGAGAAGAGAGTGTGGTATGTGCTGTCTGATAGAAAGGCAGGATTTAAATCTAATAATGTAAAAAAAAAAAATCAATAATATATTATATTTTGGGGGCTGAAAGCTTCAGTTGGGCTTCAGTGCCAGAGGTTACACTTCAAAATCTTGCATAGAGGAATACAATGAATATGACCAGATAAAATACTAACTTTAATTTAAAAATAAATTAAATTAATTACAGTTAATATGACTATTCACCATGATTTAATAATTCCCTTCTCTGTTATATTAAAAAATACATTCGTTATTGATATTGTACCATACAGCTGCATTTTTTCCTCTCTGTTAGCCTTGACCTGGGACAAGACTAAGGATACTTCACCGTTCTCAGAAAAGTTTGCAACTGTAACAACAGGCATATACATAACCCACACATTTGGTTTGATTATATTGGGGTTCCCTTTCACCTTTAATTCTGAGAACTCAGAATTCTGAGAAGCACAATGTGTTTATTTATTTGTTTGATCTCTAAATTGTTTTGCCTCTCAGTTTGCAAAAAAGTGACTCTGGGCAATTTACAATTTGTAGGTGCAGAAAAGCAAGGATCTAGAAAATAAAATAGACATCTGGAACAGAAGAGAGAACAACAGAGTGACAGAAATAACCAAATTCACTGAGGCCAAGTAATACATATCTCATCTGAGATTTTTCATTCTAGACAGACTCATCCTGCATTCTGGCCTAGTGTCTGGAGTAGAACCAGGGTTTCAGGGCCATGTAGAAGGACAGAAGGTCAGAGCCATCTGAACCTCACAGGGCTTGTGCTGCAGAGAGAAGACATGCCTCCAGGGCTCTCCAGGTGACACAGTTTCATAAAAAGGAACCAAAGCATGCACACTCTACTGGATCTTGTGGGCCCATCCCTGTACTATGAAGGACTGTGTATGTGATCATCAGCACCTTTAATTGTACTTGGAAGTCCATAGGAAGCAAGGGCAACTTGTGAAGTAGTGGTATTACCTGGGCACATCTAATGACTTGTGCCACTGAATTGTTATTGATACTGTATTGTTATGAAAGCAATATCTGCAATTTAATAAATTAGGGAATTCTGATTATACTTCTCACAAGAGGATCCTCTGCAAAAAGCTAATCTGAAATCTTTAACAATTTTATAATCAGCTTGTTTTAGTGCTTTGAATATAACACTTCATTGCTTCTTCTCCTAAATGAAATGTTATTTTAAAAATGACAAAGATCAGATTATATCATGCACCAAATACAAAATAACCCAAAGCATCTAAGCAATCTGAAACCAAAAACAAACTCCTACCTCCACAAAAACAAAGCCATGTTGCTCAATTATAATATGCTCTGATTTTTTTTGTCCTTAATTTCAAATGGAGCTGTATCTCTTCTAATAGCTATAGAATTTCAGCTTCAGTAGCAAAAGAATAGATAGAGGTTATCCAGAGGGTACTCAAAGATAAATTGGCACATATTACTGTCCCAAAATGTCACTTGAAACCTTTCATATTAAATTCATTAATAATAATAAAAAAAGCATACAGTAAAATCGCAACATCTCACAAGCTTTCAGTCATCTTGTAGATTTTGCATGAAAAATTCATGTGTGATCGCACAAGATTTTAGCATTCTCATACGCAATCCCATGAAAACGTGAGGTAAAATTGCTAAATTTCACAAGATCTAAGCAATCACATGAGATTTCAGGCATGGGGCATGAAAACTCTATCTATTAAGACAGTATAATTTTTATAAAATTTCTCTGCAAGTATTATTTACGACACCAATGCCAGCCTTTCATTCTTACATCCTGATATCACATGCAAGTGTTAAAGTCAGGTAAGGTTGGCACTGCAATACACATTTCATCATTTGCCTTCCCAGCAGACTTCTATAAAAGTTATGTTTGCTTTTTTCATTGTGTGGAAACCTTCTGACTTATTTTTCAAAGAATGAAATTCTAATGTGTTATGTGTAGTCAAAGTCAAAGTACTTTATTTCGGTCATTGACTAGCTTGAAATGTGTTATGCATAAATCCAGAGCTGTTAATTATATTTTTTCATAAGACCATGGTGCCAATAGTTTTAAAAAAAACAACACGAAAATATCATCTTCAAAGATGTAGCTTCCCTCACCCTTTGCTGTCATTGCAGTGTAGGCTGTCTGGATAACTACTTACTTACTTACTTAATCAGTTTGTAAAGCTGCCCATCTCAGCAAATGACTCTGGGCAATGAACAATAACAAATAGAATAAAAACAATTATATCCTGAATACAAACTTTAAATACAAAAATTAAAATACATAGCAGCTGAGAAAAAAAACAACACAACCAACAGTGCTAATACAGCCAGGACACGTTCTTTTTGCACACTGAGGGCCCCAGGCTCAGGCACAGAACCAGATTTTTAGGGCCTTACAAAAGGCCAGCAGGGTTGGGGCCATTCTAATCTTCAGAGGGAGAATGTTCCATAGGGTGGGTGCTAGGGCAGAAAAGGCCTGCCTCCTGGGCCCTGCCAACCAGCACTCCTTAGCTGATGGGACCTGAACATGCCCCTCCTGCCAGACTGGATTGAATGGGTTGGAACAACCGGAGGGAGAAGGTTCCTCAAGTAACTGAATCCCAAGCCATGAAGAGCTTTAAAGGTGACAACCAGCACCTTGAATTGCACCTGGAAGCACACCGGCAACCAACGCAGCCCACAAAGTAGTGGCGTTACATGTGCTGAGCGACTGGTGCCATTAAATACTTGTGCTGCTGCATTCTGCACCAGTTGAAGCTTCCAAATTTTCTTCAAGGGCAGCCCCATTTACAGCACATTGCAGGAGCCCATACAGGAGATCACAAGGGCATGAATGACAGTTAGCAGGGCCTCCCTGTCCAGGAAGGGGCCTGGATACGAAATATTCACATTAATTACATTCATGTACATTTTTTTTCTTTTTTAAGAAACAGGCCTCATACGTTTTTCTCTCTCCCCATCTCCTCTCCTCCATCCATCCTATTATATTTCTTCTATGCTATTTCTGGTTTGACCCACATATGTTTAATGATGATAGGAATTCCATGATCTGATACATTAAATCATCCTCCCATATACATGATTTAATGCAACTTTCAAAAAAAGTTGGAACTATCAAGTAACAATTTTCCCTGTTTACATCGAGTAGCAGTCATACTTTGGAGGTCATTTCCTATGAAGGACATTACTAAACAACATGGCTGAAGAAACAGAAGAGGGAGGGAGAGAACTAGTTCCAAATTCCCAGATATTTAGTGATGAATATCATCTATTTCTCAAACAAATAAAAACAAAAAAATAAAAGCAATCACCTGGAATAAAAGAATAACCATAACACCTTATCCATACTGTAGTAGTAGTTGTTTATATATGTTTGGAGTGCTGGTGGAGAAATAGGCTTGCTCCAAAAAATGGAGCACAATTTCATCATATATTGTAGAATTATCAGAAAATGATATATGCCTTTGTATCCTATTTTCCAGATAGCACTGATTTCCTCATTTAAGATCTCTGAACCATGTTATATTCAGTCACTTTTATTTTAAGTAGAGCTGACAACTGTAACACTAAAGACATCCAAAGGCTTCTGTCACACGCATTGACTATAATAATGACAATTTACAAGCAATCAAAAGTTTACCAGAACAGATGCCTGATTTTGTGTGGTATAATGTAGATAACGATAGCTGGAGCTTTCTGTGAAGGCAGAACCCCTCTCTCCTTCATTTGCAATGGTACCTGCAGGGGAAAAAAAAAATTATACTCCACTTTTCTTAGACAAGCACTTGGTTTATAGCTTTTTTTAAAAAATAAAGTTATATTTCTCTATAACATTGCATAACTGGCAGGCACACATATACATAGGTTTCTTTACAGTTCCTAACTTATGATGTATGGCTTGGAATTTTGTTTCTCTACACTCAGTTTGGAATTATTTACTAGCTATCTAAGGAGAGTCAGAATAAAGAAGTTGTTGATTTACTGATGTTAAGCTCAGAACAGGGAACCAGGGGTGCTGAAGGGTTTATACTCAGCAGAGACTAAATTCATGGTATTATCACCAAGTGTTTTTTAAAATTCTACCAGCACTAAATAAGAAAGGATAGTAAATTGGGAAGCTGCCAGGATGGTCACCTTTTAATAGCAGATAGTTTTTACTGGAACCACAGTGTTCAAGGAGAGGAAGACTGCATTTAGCCTCTCTCTACTATTACTGTAGATGTAAGGCATTATGGGAAGAAACCTGTGTTAATCTATGGTGGCAAAAAATCAGGAATCTAGGAGCATATATTCTGACTGACAAATTTTATTAAAAGGCATTAGCTCTTTTATGCTGCAGCTCACTTCATCAGATTACCAAGAATATCCCCATACTGAATGGATTAAATTAGAGCTTGTTCTCCTTTATCCATCCCATTATCAAAGTTGGACAATAATCAAGGCTTATGGTTACTTCCTGTTTGGAGTTGGATAGTAAGGAGCAATAAAGCTGGTGTCATCAGCATAATGATGAGACCAGTTATAACAGAGGGAAGGGTGCCTGCAACTCCAAGCCTGTGAGATAAGACAAGTTGCCAGTCCCCTTTTCTGTATGTTCCAAGGTAGATATGTTGGCACCACTTCTGTGATTTACAATTGCTACATCTCAGTCTGAAGCCATTAGAATCCATTCTTTGCAGGATTGAATACAATACATACATGCCTACAGTACCCCTATCTGCAGAGGCTATTTGTTCATACTGGTGCCAAATGTACAGAGCACAAAGGTCAAAGTAATAATGGGGATGTGGGCAGTGGCTATAAACCCACCTTGGCTGGGTAGACAGCACCTGGTCTGGTAGAAGGCACCTGCTAACAAGACCTCTGTAAGTCATGTGAATCTTTATTTAATGAACATTTTAAATTGCTATAACAGTCAATGCAAAATATTGCAGCCCAAAACTAGTTATAATATATTTTATTTTTTTCTTTCCTTCCGCCTATGAGACTTTGCCACTCTCAAACTAGCTTTCATACCTGTTCATTTATTAACTTAAATAAAGACGCTAGCTTCCATATCTTGAACATTTCGACCCCATGCTATTACTGGTTGTTTCCAAAGTTTTTCATACCAGTTTGATAATGATGCTAAAAGATTACTTCTTAGGATTAAGTAACCTTTATTCTAGCTTAATAAGCAATGAAATTAGGTAACATAATAAACTTCCTTCTATGAAACACTCTTTCTTCTAGAACTTTTTACCATTTAAAAATGTTTTAATTATTGCATTAATAACCCTCCTCCCCAGCAAACCAAAAACCAAACCACCTGCTTGCAGGCTGTCTGATCCTGGAAACTGCAGAGCAAAGGAAGGAGATAGGAGGGAGAGCAGGTAGGATCCCTTAATCTTTTTTTGATAGTTCAGGCATTAAGTTGCTTCCAACTCAATGGGCATCATTTCACAGGACTATCTGTTGGTAACTGCTTCTTTGAGTTCTTGTAAGCTCATGCCTCTGGACTAACCCTTTCTTACAGGTTTCTTACCTTGTTTCAATGTAGCTCAATGTAGGACCCCATATACATTAAAGGGAACATTGTATTCTTACTGATTTAGAAGTGGATTTGATTAAAATTCAAGTTATCAAGTTATAAGGATATTTAACCATTAGCTGTGTTGATTTCATTGCCAGTGAGCTTTTCTTCTTGCAAGATAGTTTCTTCTTGGAACTATCAAGACATTGCATGACATTCTAAATACATATAAGCATTGTTGTTCTTATTTGCTTTGCTGTTCTTGTCTTTATTCCTCTCTTACGCATGCTAGTCATGCAGAATTAGTTTATGTGTAAAACAGCAGGAAATCTGTTTATTTTCTGTAGTCCTGACATGACTGTCATTAGGGCTATACATTCTTGCAGCACAATAGAAGAATTCATAAATATCTATGAACATTTATTTGAAAACTTTCTAA